GCGTGACAGGGGTAGATCGTGCATGCAGATCGCACATCAAAGTCACGCAATGGGTTACCCCCAAGGTATTGGGGAAATATATATATTTAAAAATCTGGACAAATGGAACGGGCAGAAGTCGCTCCTCACCTGGAGGGTGTCATGAACTGGTTGGACGCAGAGGAATGACGGGAGGCTCCATCTGGGGGAACCAGCAAGGAAAGAAGGCTCAGAGCCCGGGGAGAGGTGGTAGGACGATGATGAGTGGTCCAAAGGGAAGAGGAGGAGTTGGAAGCTGAGGAGGCAACAGGGTCTAGTGAGCAGGGGGAGTCTGTGGCATAGAGCAGTCCAGAATCAGAGGCAGAAGCTGATATTGTGGCAATGCTAGCCATCCCCTCCCCAGTGTGGTGTAGTGGTTAAGAGCGGTAGTCTCATAATCTGGGGAACCGGGTTCACGTCTCCGCTCCTCCACATGCAGCTGCTGGGTGACCTTGGGCCAGTCACACTTCTCTGAAGTCTCTCAGCCCCACTCACCTCACAGAGTGTTTGTTGTGGGGGAGGAAGGGAAAGGAGAATGTTAGCTGCTTTGAGACTCCTTAAGGTAGTGATAAAGCGGGATATAAATCCAAACTCTTCTTCTCTTCTTCATATTCTTTAATAACACCGATAACTGGGAAACACTGGCCTGCAAGTGCTCCAATTGGAGAACAGCCTTTACCAAAGATGTTGTGGGTTTTGAAGATGCTCAAACTCAGGACAAAAGGGAGAAATGTGCTAAGAGGAAGGCACACTTGGCAAACCCTCACTGTGATCAACTCCCATCCAGAAACCAATGTCCCCACTGTGGAAGGACGTGTGGATCCAGAATTGGCCTCCACAGTCACTTACGGAGTCATTTTTAAAACAGTGCTTATGGAAGACAATCTTACTCGGCTATGAGTGATTGCCAAAGAAGAAGAAGAAGAATATTCTTTAAGGCCATGTCTTTTGCACGTGGTTCTGGTGGGTAGATCTTAGCATTCTAGTAAAACCCAAGGTGGTTTGTGAGAGCCTGAAAACGGGTGGCCGGGGCGGAGCCTTCCAGATGTTGGGGACTACAACTCCCACCAGCCCTAGGCAGAACAGTCAATGGGCAAGGATAATGGGAGTTGTGGTCCAAAACTTCTGGAAGCCACGATGTTGGCTATCCCTGAGAAAGGCCTTTGGTATGGTCCAGCAGGACTCTTCTTAGGACTGAGAACAGAGGCCAGCAACCTAAGGCCCATGTGCTGGAAGCAGCCCACGGAGGTCGTTTGAACGGGCCACAAGCCGCCCCCAAACCAAGCTGCCCACTCTTGCGCTGCACTAAACCGGCACAACGCAGGGACTCGCTTCTGTGGCACCGGAAATTGCGTCTGCGCATGCGCAGATGCCAAAAATCACAGGCGTTCACGCTCATGCATGCTCACCATCTGGCCCAGAGAGGGATCTCTGGGGGACCGATCTGGTCCAGGCAAGATAAACCTTGCTGACCCCTAACTTAGAACGTGAAGACTGCCTTTCTTGAGGTATGTTCCCATACATGGTGATGAAGGCACAGAATTTCATTTCCAATGACCCCTGGCCAATGGCCATGATGCCTGCGACTGAGGGGAGTCTAAAAATACCTGAATGGGCAAAAATTAGCCACCCCTGTTTTAGAGGGAGGACTTCTCCTTTTAGGGACCAAGAATTGAGAGGGTATCTGCGAATAGGCTATGCATCAGAAGGAGAGAAAGAGGTGATCCGAAACATCTGAACTCACCAGGAGGGGAGAGCAAAGCTGTCTGGTCGAATTTGAGTTTGGGTGAGAAATCAAGCTCATCTTGATTGATGCTCTGTTCACAATCCCTCCACTGCTAACAGGGAAAATCAAGGATTCTGCACCGAACCTCTGGAAGACTCCACATTTCCTCCTGTCTCCATTTCCTCTTTTCTCTACTTGGAATCCCAAGATTATCAGGCCGAAAACATCCAACAGCAATTAATGCATTCCATTCCTCAAACAGAAGAGCTTGCAATGATACGCAAGCAAATTTCCTGGGAACAACTTGTGGTTAAGAGCAGGGAAATGTAGACATTTCCCTTTTGGGTCTGAAAGTCCTTTTTTTTTTTTTTTTTGGCCACCCAAAAAAAGTGTGGCCTGTGTCCTATCACAGACACAACTGGAAGCTGAAGCAAATTCTTTCCCCACCCCCGAAGTTCTCTGGTGTGAATTTCGAAGTTGATTGTTCTCCAGATATTCCCCGGTTGCTCAAATATTTGCTGTCTGTATTTGCCAATATGTGGACATGTGATACATGTCGCTGACTGCCTTGCTCCTATCGGCATCAGCGCTGACCACAGTTTGAAACACAGAGAGCGCTACAGTAGTCCGTTCCGAATGTAACCAGTTCATGGGTCACCAGAGCTCAGAGCAGCCTTTCTCAACCTTGGGTCCCCAGATGTTTTTGGGCTACATCTCCCATCATCCCTGACCACTGGTCCTGTGAGCTAGTGATCAGGGGAGTTGTAGGCCAGAAACATCTGGGGACCCAAGGTTGAGAACCACTGGCTTAGAGGGAAAGCACATGTACCTATTTACCGTATTTTTTGCTCTATAAGACACACCAGGACACAAGATGCACCTAGCTTTTGGAGGAGGAAAACAAGAAAAAAAAAAATCTGAATCTCAGAAGCCAGAACAGCAAGAGGGATCGCTGTGCAGTGAAAGCAGCAATCCCTCTTGCTGTTCTGGCTTCTGGGATAGCTGCGCAGCCTGCATTCGCTCCATAAGACGCACACACATTTCCCCTTACTTTTCAGGAGGGAAAAAGTGAGTCTTATAGAGCAAAAAATACGGAATTTAACATATTTCTGTCTTGCTTTTCAGTGCAAGCCCTCACAAGCCTGCTTACAGTGGAAATGTTAAAACCCAAACAGCTGAGTGTTGGAAATGTAAAGAAGTAGAGAGCACATTTTACCGTATGTGGTGGACGTGAAAGGAGCTATGGACTTTTGGGAGATGATTTATAATGAGTTGAAAAAGATATTTAAAGTAACTATCCCCCCAAACTAGAAGCTTCTTCTTCTTTTTACTAGAGATAACTGGAGCAGATAAATCTATTTCTTTACACAACCACGGCAGCACGAATATTATACACACAAAAATGGCATTATGAGGTGCTCCCTACTGAAGAAGAATGGCAGCTGAAATTGATAGACTATGTAGACCAGGCAAGTTTGACGTGCAAAATTAGAGTTCAGAAGGAGACTGGTCTTAAAGAAGATTGGAAAATATTTGCAGAATGCTTAAAAGCTCGGTGTAAAAATGTTAGAATGCAAATAGGATTTGAGTAAGAACAGCAGTGGAGGGTGAGCTTTTTGTTTTTTATGTGAGATAAGGTGAAGGTATAGAGTAACAATAATATGCAGCATAAATTGAAATTTTGAGGGAAACACGGAGGGATGGAGAGGAAGTCGTAGGTGGAATGACTGATTGCTAAATTTGAAATGTTGTTGAATTGTTTGTTTGTTGAAAATTTACAAATAAAATTATAAAAAACAAAACAATTGAATGAACATACAATAAAAGCAGCAGGTTATAAACGTAACTTCACAAATCAGAATGAAAGCTCAATAAATAACGGCAGCCAATGTTCTCTAACCTTCCCACAAACTTGGTGCAAATAAACCAGTATGAATGCTTAGTAAACATACAACATCTTTGAACCAACCTGCAGAGTTTATGCAAATAAACCAGAACAAATGCTCAATTAGAAGGTCACCTGGAAGTAACTTGTATGTCATAATGATGAATCAGCTAAGGGGTGTGGTTTTGAAACAATGAAATCTATGAATTCGGAAGAATACATGTGCGCACACAGAGAGCACTTTGAAATACAAACATCCAAAGTGGAAAGCCATCTTAGGGAGGACCAAACAGCATAGCTAGATTTTGATATATATACACACACATTTTAAAATCTACAGGTTAGAATCACAGATTTGTAGAGTTGGAAGGCACCCTGAGAATCATGTAGTCCAGGAATATACAGCTGTCCAATACAGGGATCGAACCTGCAACCTTGGTGTTATCAGCACCATGCTCAAACCAACTGAGCTATTCTGAGATGTGGATGTCTGCTTATCACATTTGAAAGCTGTGAACCTGAGGGAGGAACCAGCCTCTCTCTCACTTTAAGTTGTATGTAATTCCAGTGCAGTTTACTTGACTCCGGGACGGCTGGCTCAGCAGGGATCAGTCCCGGAACCTCAAAACTAGAGAGCAAGTGAGGTGAAGTGGCTAGGATGTTGAACTTAGACCAGGGAGAGACAGCTACCAAACTCTGTTTTGCAACAAAGATCACTGGGTGATTTTGGACCACTTTATTGCCTCCTACCCGATAGGGTTGTTGTGACAGTGGACTGGAGACAGGCAGAGAGTGAGACGAGCATCTTAGCCAAGGAACAGGATAGCAATGCAATAACAAAACAGACAAACCTCACAGCACCAATAGTAGGGCTTTCCCAGGGCTGACTGAGGGAAATGCAAGGGACATCTGGTAAAATATTTTGATCCAGTGATGGTTCTGAGTCAGGCAAACTTCTGCTTCCTTTAGATAAGCCCAGCGGTTTACCCAGGAAAGCCGGCAAGTGCGCCAGAACCGGCTCTTGTTATTTCTCGCGCGGCGTCATAATAAAACACAAGGGCCCCTGAGCGCGTGCAGAGTGCACCCCTTTGCCCGCTGACTAAACGCAGCGCGCCCCAATACACCTGTGTTCGTGGAGAGATGCGCTTCGAGGGGAAAGCGTGCGCCTGGAAACCTCCAGGCAAATCTGGGTCTTTGTACCTTTAAGGTGCTTTTTTTTAATATAAAAGAAAAAGAAAATACTAGCAAGAATGAAATCAGTTCCCCGGCCTTTTATCTGCCCTCGTCTTTGTTTGCGCTCTGGGCAGGTGTCCAACCTGTCCGGGGCCCCTTTAAGAACCAAGCGCTTGTCACTCCTGCTCGCTCCGACTGTTTCTTTTTCCCCCGGAAGAAAAGTGTAGCCAGAGCGGCTGCTCAGACTCTGTGCAAGGTGGGGAGGGAGGTAACCAAGCAAGCACGCGCGCGCCTCGCTTGCGCGATACCAGCCACAGAACCGGCTCCATCCGAGCCTTTTGCGCGTAGGGAAGAACCGGGTGGAGAGGAAGGAATATCCGATTGCTAAGCAGGGAGGCTGCTGCTGCTGCTACAATCTGCAACATTCACAAAGGAGGTTGGAGAGGGGAGGAGGGCAAAACTCCAGGAACTGAAAGCAACAACAACAGCAAGCCGGGTTTTTCCCCCAGCCCCCAGCAAAACGAGCAAGCCACCCGCAAACTCCTTTGCAGAAAGGCGCAGCAGACTCCTGAGAAGCAAAAAAAGAAGGAGAAAGAAATTGGCGAAACACGACATGGGCGCTAGCCAGTTCCACCTTTGCAGACCCGCAGGACGCAAGAGCCAGCTTGGGAGCCAGAAAGCGTTCCTGCTGGCATGCGCCCTGTGGATTTCCCTCTGCGCCCCGAGATGCGCGGCTTTCAACCTGGACACGAAATTTCTGATCCACAAGAAAGGAAAGACCCCGGACAGCTACTTCGGACTCTCCGTGGCTCTGCACCATCACATGGACGGGCAACGATACCTGTAAGTGAAACAGCGTTGGGACGGGGAGCGTGCAGTGTTTGGTATGGTGAGAGGCGCCCTTTTCTCCGGAGCCTCCCACTCTCTTTCTGAACTTGAGGTTCAGACTGGAGGCATAAAATCCGCTGCAGTAGTTAAGAGGGGAGCAGGCATTCGAATCACACAGAACTGTCCTGCAAGCAGGGATCTGAGATTGAGAGAGCTGTCCGATATTTAAGCTGACATCCCTTTTTGTTCCTCCCTCAGGAAGCCCCATCTGAACTCTGCGGGACTTACTTTTGAGTAGACCTATCTAGGGTGTTATACTGAGAGGCATGCTCTTTTCTTTCTGCCCATTTTTGCCTAGAACAACAGGTTGGCAAAGCCCCCAATTCTGCGCTCATTCCCCCTCCTTGCCGCCAACAAAGTTTGGCAGTTCCCCAATCTGCTTTTAATTAAATGTCATATTCTTGGTTCCTTCTCTTGGGACTGGAGATCTAGCATATTTTTGTGGTCTCTGGTTAGCAAAAGGGACTCTTATAATAAGTGTCTGTGAACTAATGGAGAAGTTACTTGCATCTACTCCCCACCCACCCAAGCGTGCTGCAATTCACATCTGTTTGTGCCATTCAGCTTGTCAGCTTTTTGGATTTAGCTGGAATTCATCTGTTCCTGAACTCGATGCCTGTTTGCGTGTGTGTTCGAGAGCAATTTATGCCCTATTGTGTTGGGGTTGTACCACATGTGGCCTGGTGCGTCTAACATCAATTGGCCCTTTCCTTCCGAAGCGAAATGTTGATTGAAACCAGGGAAGCGGCTGCAAATGTGATGGTTAATGCTGTTTGCTGACAGAAAATATATTCAGGGTCACTGAATATTGGTGGCCACCGGTAACACAAGACCGGCGGTTGCCAACGTGCTGCTTGTGGGTGCCTATGAAGGTTTTCCCTGGTTGCCCGAAGGGTTTTTTCCACACAAATTAGGCTTGTAAGAAGCATTCCATTATAGCCAATATCATGGGTTGCAGAGTATGCTTAGTTGTGGTTTGCAGGTATGTCCACAGACCCAGAAAGATGGCAACTCCTGCAGTTAAATTCAAGTCTACCCAGCGGCACATTGCAACCTAATCAGAAAATGCAGTGTTAGAAACTCAGATATATGAGCCAGGCTCCAAATAGCTTCTTAAACCAAGGTTACAGTTGCCAGAACAAAATGTCTAGTTTGGGGGTAAGACGGCTCTAAAGTCTTATGATGGACGACTGACGGTGATGGATTCTCAGTTAAACATCTGGCTAGTTCAGATGACCACCTTGAGCTAGGTTAAGAGCTCTGAGAACTTAGGGAAGAAAAGTCACTTTATCCAGGGACAGTTCACATGGACAGTGGTACCTCAGGTTAAGTACTTAATTCGTTCCGGAGGTCCGTTCTTAACCTGAAACTGTTCTTAATCTGAAGCACCACTTTAGCTAATGGGGCCTCCTGCTGCCGCCGTGCTGCTGGAGCACAATTTTTGTTCTCATCGTGAAGCAAAGTTCTTAATCCGAGGTACTATTTCTGGGTTAGCGGAGTCTGTAACCTGAAGCGTATGTAACCTGAAGCGCATGTAACCTGTATATATCTGCTCCAAACTCTTTTTCTTCATGATGACTCCTGCTGCTCAGGCTGCACAGAAAACACATTTTGGTTCCAAAAATTCATTCTGATTGTGCAGATAATATATAACTGATAGAATTCTACAGGATGGGGGCATGGGTGTGCAAAATAGTCCAGATTCAATGATCCCCGGCATGCAAATTCCAGATGGTGGAGATGATATTTTATGTGAATCACCCTGAGACCTTCGGGTATAGGGAGGTATATATAAATTAAATAAATAAATGATAAAAATGTCAGGTGCCATCCTGGCACCCTGGCATGTCGCAAGTGGTCAAAAGCCAGGTGCTAAATGCTCCTGGCGCCTGGCTAATTTCGAACACTGACAGCACGTTGAGATACCTTACTGGGGAATAGTGCAACTTTACTGCAACATACCCTTGAGCAGAATAAAAAAGGCAAATCAGAACTTAAAGGTAAAGGTAAAGGGACCCCTGACCATTAGGTCCAGTCGTGACCAACTCTGGGGTTGTGGCGCTCATCTCGCTTTACTGGCCAAGGGAGCCGGCGTACAGCTTCTGGGTCATGTGGCCAGCATGACTAAGCCGCTTCTGGCGAACCAGAGCAGTGCACGGCAATGCCATTTACCTTCCCGCCGGAGCGATACCTATTTATCTACTTGTAGTTTGATGTGCTTTCGAACTGCTAGGTGGGCAGGAGTAGGGACTGAGCAATGGGAACTCACCCCCTCATGGGGATCCGAACTGCCGACCTTCTGATCAGCAAGTCCTGGGCTCTGTGGTTTAACCCACAGTGCCACACTTAGGGACAAATCCTTACCGTCCCACACCTTCTTAATTCAGAGCAGTGCAGTTTTGTCTGGGATATGCATGTGAGGGCGAGGCTCCCTTAGTACTCAGTGTGCGTTTCCCTGGATGAGGCTCATTTCTTATGCCAGTGGCAGCAGAAAACAGGTGCCAACCAAACCAATGCAACATGCAGGTCACTCTGTTGGTTCACGAGAAGCCTTTTGAAACCTTATCCAGCAAGGATGCAGCACTAAATATTTAGTATGTATACCATACCTTCTTCTTTTTTAATGACATCAAATGGTTGCTGGAATGCTTTTATTTCTTCTAAGGAATTTAGATCCCACTCAGTATTTATTTAAGTAAAAAGAAATCCAAGAAACTTCATTTTTTTTAATTTTAAAAAATCCCTAAAATATTTCATGCTATTATTTCCATTTATATGCCATTTTTCCCCTATGTAAATTTGCACAAATGCAACAGTACCTCTGTGCAGAGAACTGCCCTGGTTGCCCATTTGCAATTGGGCCCAATTAAAGGTGTTACAACAACAACAACAAATTATTATTATTATTATTATTATTATTATTATTATTATTATTATTTGTGTCCCGCCCATTTGGCTGGGTTTCCCCAGCCACTCTGGGCAGCTCCCAACAGAATATTAGAAACACGATAAAACATCAAACATTAAACTTCCCTAAACAGGGCTGCCATCAGATGTCTTCTAAAAGTCAGATAGTTGTTTATTTCCTTGACATCTGCTGGGAGGGCATTCCACAGGGCGGGCGCCACCACCGAGAAGGCCCTCTGCCTGGTTCCCTGTAATCTCACTTCTTGCACTGAGGGAACTGCCAGAAGGCCCTCGGAGCTGGACCTCAGTGTCTGGGCTGAATGATGGAGGTGGAGACACTCCTTAAAGCCCTTAACAGCTTGGGACCAATTTACTTGTGAGATCGCTTTACCCCATATAGGCCCATACGACCGCTTCAGTCTGCAGAACTGGCAGTGTTACAGGTACCACATAATACTGATTCTGAACTTCTTGCTGGCACCCATCTAAGTAAATCCATACACATTGGAACTCCCTGCCTCTTGACATCAGCCAGTCACCTTCGCTGCTCTTTTCAACACCTGCTTAAAATATTTTTTTTCTAGGCAAGCCTACCCAGACAGGCAGAAATAATAATTATTATTATTATTATTATTATTATTATTATTATTATTATTATTATTACCCCACCCATCTGGCTGGGCTTCCCCAGCCACTCTGGGCGGCTTCCAAAAAAAATATTAAAATACTGTAATGCATCAAACATTAACAGCTTCCCTAAACAGGGCTGCCTTCAGATGTCTTCTAAAAGTCTGGTAGTTGTTGTTCCCTTTGACATCTGGTGGGAGGGCGTTCCACAGGGCAGGTGCCACTACTGAGAAGGCCCTGTGCCTGGTTCCCTGTAACTTGGCTTCTCACAGTGAAAGAACCGCCAGAAGGCCCTTGGAGCTGGACCTCAGTGGAGGTGGAGATGCTCCTTCAGGTATACTGGACCAAGGCGGTTTAGGGCTTTAAAGGTCAGCACCAACACTTTGAATTGTGCTCAGAAACGTACTGGGAGCCAATGTAGGTCTTTCAAGACCGGTGTTATATGGTGAAATCACCATTGGAACATCTCGGTCGATACCAGCTGGTTAAAATATATGTGCTCCACCAGGAATCTGGTGGCGTTGTTGACGGGGGCAAGATCTGTCAAGATGGGCAGTTTAGGATGCATAGATGATCTCTGGCTCTGCTGGTGTTAAGAGACCAGCCTGGCTTAGCCAAAGATACACCAGCACAACTTAATAATAATAATGTTATTATTTATACCCCCACCCGTCTGGCTGAGCCGAGGCCAGCGCAAGATGCCCAAAATGGACATTCTGGGGGGCGTGGTTTGGGCAGCACCGGGGGTGACTCTTAGGTCAAATCCTAAGCTTGTTCTGCTCATTCAGATGATTGGCAGCCCTGCATCAAACCCTATTTTAAAGGCATGTTTCCCCTCTTCCCGGCTTAGGCAGAGCAGCTGCAGCGGTTCCACAGCTGAACGGGATTTGGCTCTGCTGTACCTTTAGGGCAGTTTAACTTACGCCAGCTTGTATTATGCCAAGCTTCTTGTGTGCATAGGATTGCTTCTTATGTCTGGTCCACACTTCTCAATGTGAAGAGTTGTGGGGAGACACCTGAAATGGGTAGTTATAAAAAAATATTTAAAGTAATAATAATATTTATTTATTTACCGCTCGTAGTTACTCAAAACTCTTAAGCGGTTTACAACACAGGTTAAAACACCTTAAGTAAACAGCAAACACCAAAACGAAAAGGAGGGAATTTATACATTCGATGAAACGTAACGCAATAGAGAATCCTCGTCGGTGTCAAAATAAACATTGCCACATAAAAAATCAGTTGCAAAAAAAATCCTTAGTAAAGGAAAATCCTTAGTAAAAGGAGATCAGGCAGCAAAATAATTTAAAATGAAAATGAGCTAAAAAGTATAAATTTCAGCTTTTTAAAAAATGACGTCAAAACCCCCCAAACCTGATTCGCAATGAAGCAAAAGAAAACCGACTTATTCTTCCCCACCG